AAGGCTCAGTGATTCTTAAAGCCCCTCAGGCGACTGCGATGCCCAGTGAGAGCCACTGAGCAAGGTGGGAAGAATTTAGTGTGCCATTACCTGGGGAGGAAAGAAAGCTTTTACTTTGCTATAATTGCTACTGGGTATGGAAGGGAGAGGGCTAAAGATTAAAGTGGAATGATTCCACTTACAATGTGAAAAAGTCACTCTCATTATCAGCCCTGAAAAATGGCTTACGGTGTTAATCTTCTGCCAGTGTCTTGGGCTCTCATCAGAAGGTACAGATATGATGGACAGAAGTAACAGAGATGCTGTAGGATCCAGAAGGAGCTGGGGATCCAGGTCAGCTGGTGGGTCTGTTGCTCATGCCAACACGTGTGCATACAGGTGGTTGCTGATGTCAGGTGTATGCACTTTGATCCTGTGTAGGTGGACTGATTCTTGCTTTGGCATTAAGTTTAGTACTATCTAAGTGCCACAGATAGCTGGCGATAGCTGGAAGTGTGCCCAGAAATAAAGTACCTCTGAAAAATGTAACTCTTTATTTCTTTCCATTGTTAAAGTAATATGTAAAAGAAAATCTGGGAAATTGGGGAACAGAAAAGTAGACTGACCCTTAGAAGAAACTAATGGCCAGGCGCCGGTGGCTCACACCTGTAATCCTAGCTACTCCGGAGGCAGAGATCAGGAGGATGGCAGTTCAAAGCCAGCCTGGGCAAATAGTTTGTGAGACCCTATCTCGAAAAAACCCTTCACAAATAAAGGGCTGGTGAGTGGCTCAAGGTGTTGGGCCTGAGTTCAAGCTCCAAGATTGCAAAAAAAAAAAAAAAGAAGAAGAAACTAATGATAGTAGCTAAGAGCCAGGTAGACTCACCAGGTGCTAGACATGGTTCTAATCCCTTTCCAATACAAATCCATTTACTTCTGATACTAACTCTCTGAGGTAGATAATTATGTCTAATTCCATTTTATAGACGTGAAGAAGAACCTGAAGCTGTTAGGTGATTTGTCCTAGGGTGCACAGCCAGTAAGGCAAAGCCAAAATTGGACTCATGCTATATTTTCCAGAGTATGGTCAATCTCAGAGATATAGTTCATATGGTAAGCTGCATTCAAGGAGTCAGTGCCAGTTGTAAAGCTGAAAAAGTTAATCTCAGCTGTCCATTAGTTCATCCATTTAGTTCACAAATGTTTATTGAAGGTGTCTGTCATATGAGGCAAGACATTAAATAGTATACAAAGGCTACCTCTCCATTCATTCCTACCGCATTGAGAATGATGCATGCATAAACAGCACAAATCTAGTAAGAATTTAAAAATGCTATTACTCTTCCCTATGACAAAAATCCAAAACTAATACTTCAAAACGTATAGAATGTCATATACTTATTAAATAGAATATTTAGCATTAGCCTCCAGAGTTTCAACAATATATAACATACTTTGAATAATAATTTCAACTTATATTTCATAAATTTGGCTCTGTAGGAATAAGTTTAATATATAGTAGTGTTTTTGGCTCAGAAATTTGATGTTTGTTAAAGAGCTGTGTAAATGGACAGATGGAAGAATAGGTAAGTGAATTAATAGAGAGAATGCTTGGGGATGGTCTAATTGCTTAAAAATTGCATCTTTATAGGCTGAGAGTGTGGCTCAAGTGGTAAAGCACCTGTGAGGCCCTGAGTTCAAACCCCAGTACTGCCAGGAAAGAAAGATGAAAGAAAGAAGACAAGAAAGAAAGAAAGAAAGAAAGAAAGAAAGAAAGAAAGAAAAGAAAGAAAGAAAGAAAGGAAAGAAAGAAAAAGAAAGAAAGAAAGGAAGAAAATTAGTGTTTCCTACTTTGTTGAATAGGAAATTAAGACTCAGAAATTCTTGTGGCTTTTAAGTAACTTTTTAATTGACAAGTAAAATTGTATATATTTATGATGTACAACATGATATATACCTGTGGAATGGCTAAATTAAGTTATTTAATATACATATGACCTCACATACTTATCTTTTTGTGGTGAGAACACTTAAAATGCACTCTCTTAGCAATTTCCAATTGCAACACATAGTTATTATTTTTGGTGGGTCTGGGTTTTAAACTCAGGGTTTAGTACTTGCTGGGCAGGCTCTCTGCCACCAAAGGGCCGCCAACCCTTTTTGCTCTGGTTAATTTGGAGATAGGGTCTTGTTGCTTTGTTACCCAGGCTGGCCTGGACCCCAATTTTAAGCTTCCCACCTTTCTTTGGGATGACCAGCATGTGCCACCATGCCCCCTTTTTTTTGGTTGAGATGGGGTCTCACAAACTTTTGTGTCCAGCTTCCCCCCAACCCCCCAACAGCCTGGCCTGGAACCTTGATCTTCCAAATCTTGGTCTCCCAGGTAGCTTGAGATGACGGGCATACAATACCACAAGCAGCTATTGGTTGAGATGAGGCTTGAGAACTTTTTACATGAGCTGGTCTTGAACCACAGCCCTCCCCGTTTCAGGCTTCCCACCACAGCTGGGATGACAGGCGTGCATCACCATGCCCAGCTTGCTTTTTCTGTTGCAATGGAGTCTTCCTAACTTTTTCCCTGGACTGGCCTTGAACCCTAATCCTCCCAGAGAGCTAGGATTATGGGTGTGAGCCTATGTAATGTGTTGTTATTAACTGCAGTCATCATGAAGTATTAAAATGTTGATTTCTCTCCTTTCTATAGACTAAATAACTTCAAGCAAGTTATTTTGGTGCTAGTTTCTTTATCTGATTGTTACAAGGATTAAATGAGGTAAAATTAATGAATTCTTTAGCACCCTACCAAAGACATGTTAAACAGCTAGCATATCTTAAACAACTTTTAAATTGAAGCTATATGTGGGAGAAAGCAAAAAATAGAATAATACAAAATGTTATACCATATAAAAATAAGTCTCTATTGACAATATTTTATTTTTTGAGACAGAGTCTCACTAAGTTGCCCAGGCTGGCCTCAGACTTACCATACTTCTGCCTCCCCTCCTGAGTACTGGGATTACAGGCATGAGCCACTACACCTGGATGACAATGTTTTCTTCTGTTATTACTGTAATTATTAGAGATCTCCAAGCACAAGTATGATTTTTGCTGTTGATTAAGGAGAGACAAGGTTTACAAACCAGTAGATAACATAGTTTGAGTCAGAACCAAGTGAAATGAATGACACAAGTATTCTGGCTGAATTCCAGTGCAAGTGAATAACATTCTCCAACTTCAAATAATTTTTATTATTAGCTAACACTTGTCCATCCCCAATAATACACACGTTGCATAAAGGGCCCAGGAGGAGGCAGGCCTCCTTTGGCATGTTCACAGACTGCACCTACTTTCCATTGAGGGTTCTCTTTCTTTTGGATGCTGAGCCACAGATTTTGAACTCCCACTACTTGCAACCCTGGGATGTTTCCAGAGCCAAAGTGCCGAGTAGTTCCCCAAGAGATAAATATGAACACCTGTAAAATTCCAGAGAACGAAAGATGTGATGTACATTTTAAATATTTATTAATAGTTATGATGCCTGTGAAGTGATTGGTGTTTATTCCTTTTCAACTTTGAGGCTGAGATTAATACATTCTTCGTTATTTCCCACAGAGCTTTGTTGATAAGCAGGAGAGAGATGGTTTTTCTGCAGTTTAGTCTCTCAGCCTGTACAAATGGGACAGAAGATCAACAATAACTCAAAATCCATCTTAGCCACTGAGTCCAGCCCTGAGTCCTTCAAGTGTCCCCAGGCCTCTGCCTAGTTCGCCTTTTTCCCAGCCGGAGGAAAGAGTGGGGGATCTAGATACCATTTAAACCTTCTTGGTTAGCGTGTGAATGAATTTCAAGTATGCTAAACACCTCAGTCTTTCAACCTAATTAGAACACGTAGAAAAGAGGCATTTGTAGGACATTTAAAACTTGTAGCATAATAACCCATCTGGAGAGCGCCACTGTGTGTCCCTGCGGGTTCTTCCCGCGGGCTCCCCGCTTCCTTCGCCCCCCGCAGGCTGCGAGTGCGCGGCTTAGAGCAGGCGGCCGGGCGGGGGGCGGGGGTGTTGGGGGTTCCGGGGACAGAGCCCTGGGCCGGGTAGTTGCTTCTTTCTACGGGGGACTTCCGACCTGCCTGCGATTGTAAAGCTCGACTGATAAGGACTAACCTCACTCACACAGTCACTTTCTTGTCTCGCTGTAAGATTTTGTTACGGAATGCAAAAGTTAAAGGTCCAAGCCTGGGAAATACTAGTAGCATATTGATGGGTTGGAGAGGTTAAGATCGTCAGTGGCACTGTCTTACGATCTGGGCTCCAATCCCAGGTTTGCCTCCTCTGGGCCAGGCGCTCGGAGTAGAGCACAATGCGTTGAACAAGTCTCCACTTATATCAGCTCAGTTGCTTGGGTCAAGTTTCTCACCTGCAACGGGTACTTGACTCATAGAACTGTAACAACTCCAAATCTGTATAAAGCTGTAAATGATTAACACGTTGTTAGGCACACAGTAGGGGCTCAATAAGGACTGGTTTTTCTTCCACCCAGTCCAAGACATTGCAGAAGGGAGACAGGTGCCATAGCTAACCATGAGTCTTTGAGCAGTTCTTTCAGACAAGCGCCCGACTCTGCAAGGAAGTTGACCTGCACAGAGGAGACCTAGTGGAGACACCAGGAGCCGACGTCCCCGAGCGAGCATAGTACAGGAAAGGGAGCCCCGCAGCAAGGGGGGCTCGGGCTGAGAACTCCGGAGGGACTTGTGGCCAGGGTTTCCCGCCCGGGCTCTCAAGGCGATGGTGATTAGCATTCACCCCGCCCCCATCATGTCCCTGACCACTATTGGCCAGTGCTCCTCCGTTGCCCGCTCCGGGCGGGGCCAGAGGGCGCCAGGGGGACAGGCCGAGCCCGCGGGCAGTGGGCGGAGACGCGCGGAGAGCATGGTGGGGCGGCCCAGCACACGAGCCCAAGCCTGAGGGGGCGGGCCGGGGCGGGGCTTCCCGGCGGGCATTAGAAGCAGGTGACCCGGGTGGGGCGGGAGAGGGCAGTCAGCCTGAGGCCGTGAGTCTGCCGCCGCTGCGCGCCGCCCGGTGCCCGCCGGAGGTGGGCGAAAGGGTGCGAGAGCGCGGGGGAGGAGCCGAGCCGGGCGCGTCCCGAGCGCGCCGCCACCGCCCCCAGGAGTCCGCTGGAGCGCGGAGCCCCCTGCAGGGGAGGAGGCGAGCGGCTGGCGGGACGCGGCGGCGGGCGCGCACCATGCAGTCCCCGCCCGGCCAGCGCCGGCTGCTCGCTCTGCTGTGAGGCGGCGAGGTCCCCTGGCAGCTGCACCCCGCCTTTCTCCCGCCCAGGTGCTGCCGGGCGCGCTCGCCCTTCGTCCTGCTCTCGGACTCCGGTGGGACGCACGGCCCGCCCCTGCCCTGCTCCTCCCGGATCATGCGGGGGGACCCGGAGGAAGAGAAGGCGAGTGACCGGCCTGTGCCGATCGTGTTCGGGGGGCTCCCTGCTCTCTGAGACGCTCCCACCTGCTGCCATGTGTCGCCGCCACCGGTATCTGGCCTTTCGCTAAACTTTCTCAGCGCCGATCCGAATCGGAGTCGCGTTTCTGAGCGGTGTCCCAGGGACCGAGGACCCAGGCAGGCAGCAGAAATCTGTCCCTTAGCAGGATCCTCTGAGGTGAGAGCCCGCGCCTTCCCTTTTTCCCTGCTCTCCCGGTTCCTCTGCCCCTTTCCGAGGACTGAGTGCTCTGCTCTGTCCCCAGGCACAGCCTGGAGGGCCCGGCCGGGAAGGGGAGGGTGTGTGTGTGTGTGTGTGTGTGGTGGTGGTGGCGGGGGAGTCAGAAGTTTGGTTCCAGAAGGTGGAGGGTAGAAACAGAGAGGGGTAAAGATTGGAGACCATTTGCGGGACCCGAGCTGTTAACGCCCCTCTTTAGAGGAGTGGTTGCGATTTGTCTTCCCCCCTTCTCTTTTAAGAGTCCTTTCCTTGGAATCGGAGCCCTAACCGTCCCTCCCCAGCCCAATCCCGCGAGGAGCTGAGTGCAACCAGTGGAGGCAGTGCCTTCCAGAAGCAGTTTATCTTCGGACGGATTTCTTTAAGAGAAAAAGAAACCAACAGGTTGCCAGCCCCGGCGTCACGCAGACTCGGGAGAGGGAAGCCCCGGCTCCGGATTCCTCTGCCTGCGTTGGCCCCTTGTGGGCTGCGGGAGGCGAGGGGAGGGAGGGGGCGATGGCTCGGCCTGACCCGTCCGCGCCTCCCTCGCTGCTGCTGCTGCTCCTGGCGCAGCTGGTGGGCCGGGCGGCGGCCGCCTCCAAGGCCCCGGTGTGCCAGGAAATCACGGTGCCCATGTGCCGGGGCATCGGCTACAACCTGACGCACATGCCCAACCAGTTCAACCACGACACACAGGACGAAGCAGGCCTGGAGGTGCACCAATTCTGGCCGCTGGTGGAAATCCACTGCTCCCCTGACCTGCGCTTCTTCCTGTGCTCCATGTACACGCCCATCTGCCTGCCGGACTACCATAAGCCGCTGCCGCCCTGCCGCTCGGTGTGTGAGCGCGCCAAGGCCGGCTGCTCGCCGCTTATGCGCCAATACGGCTTCGCCTGGCCCGAGCGCATGAGCTGCGATCGTCTCCCAGTGCTGGGCCGTGACGCCGAGGTCCTGTGCATGGATTACAACCGCAGCGAGGCCACCACGGCGCCCCCCAGGTCCTTCCCCGCCAAGCCCACCCTCCCAGGCCCACCAGGGGCGCCGTCTTCCGGGGGCGAGTGCGCCTCGGGAGGCCCATCAGTGTGCACGTGTCGCGATCCCTTCGTGCCCATCCTGAAGGAGTCGCACCCACTCTACAACAAGGTGAGGACGGGCCAGGTGCCCAACTGTGCAGTGCCCTGTTACCAGCCGTCTTTCAGCCCGGACGAGCGCACTTTCGCCACCTTCTGGATCGGCCTCTGGTCGGTGCTGTGCTTCATCTCCACCTCCACCACTGTGGCCACCTTCCTCATCGACATGGAACGCTTCCGCTACCCTGAGCGCCCCATCATCTTCCTGTCTGCCTGCTACCTGTGCGTGTCGCTGGGATTCCTGGTGCGCCTGGTCGTGGGCCATGCCAGCGTCGCCTGCAGTCGGGAACACAGCCACATCCACTATGAGACGACAGGCCCCGCGCTGTGCACCGTCGTCTTCCTGCTGGTCTACTTCTTCGGCATGGCAAGCTCCATCTGGTGGGTCATACTATCGCTCACCTGGTTCTTGGCGGCTGGCATGAAGTGGGGCAACGAGGCCATCGCAGGCTATGCCCAGTACTTCCACCTGGCCGCGTGGCTCATCCCCAGCGTCAAGTCCATCACGGCGCTGGCGCTGAGCTCCGTGGACGGGGACCCCGTAGCGGGCATCTGCTACGTGGGCAACCAGAACCTGAACTCGCTGCGTGGCTTCGTCCTGGGCCCACTGGTGCTCTACCTGTTGGTGGGCACGCTCTTCCTTCTGGCGGGCTTCGTGTCGCTCTTCCGCATCCGTAGCGTCATCAAGCAGGGTGGGACCAAGACGGACAAGCTGGAGAAGCTCATGATTCGCATCGGCATCTTCACGCTGCTCTACACGGTGCCAGCCAGCATCGTGGTGGCCTGCTACCTGTACGAGCAGCACTATCGCGAGAGCTGGGAGGCCGCCCTCACCTGCGCGTGCCCGGGCCCCGACGCCGGCCAGCCGCGCGCCAAGCCCGAGTACTGGGTGCTCATGCTCAAGTACTTCATGTGCCTGGTGGTGGGCATCACGTCGGGCGTCTGGATCTGGTCCGGCAAGACGGTGGAGTCTTGGCGGCGCTTCACCAGCCGCTGCTGCTGCCGCCCGCGGCGGGGCCACAAGAGTGGCGGTGCTATGGCCGCAGGGGACTACGCCGAGGCCAGCGCCGCGCTCACCGGCAGGACCGGGCCGCCCGGCCCCGCCGCCGCATACCACAAGCAGGTGTCCCTGTCGCATGTGTAGGAGGAGGCTATGGCCCAGGGACCCGTGCTGGGAGTTGAGGGAGGGGGGGGTTGTTTTGTTGTTTTGTTGCGAAGATCACTTCCGTTTACCTTCATGGTGCTGATGTCCCTCCCCTCCAGGGGCGACTTGGAGAGGGGGAAAAGGGGCAGTCTCAAGGGAGTACCTGTCCCAGTTCTCAGAGGGGCTCAGCTCACGTGTATTCTAGTTTGCATTTCTTACTGCCTTCTCTAGAGGAACCCTCTTTTTAATTTATATGTATTTTAATTTTTAACTTTGTTGCATTTTGGCAACAAAAATTACCTTTGCTTTGTGGGCTTTACAATCCTCATGTTGGCATTGTAATGAGGTTACACTTGGTTCAGGTTTCTTTGAACTGTGTGGTCTAAATTGGGAAAATATATTTCCTATACGTGTGTCTTTTTAAAAATGTGAACCGTGAAAATGTGGGCTCCTGTGACTGGGAAGGTGTGGAGTGTGCTTGTCAGTTAACTTCTTCCACTGCTTCAAAAGTGGCCAAGAAGACCAGCTGCTTGTTCCTGTGTGTAGCCCCAAGCCCTCCCAAGGAGGGGAGCATGAGGTGGTTAAGGCCTCCCCAAAGTGACCAGATTAGGAAGTTCTAGGGATCTTGTCCTTAACTTTGTTTATTGAGCTTCAGGTTCCTTTCAGTAGTACTGTAATCTTTCTCATTCCTGACAGAGCCAGCTTTGTATATTGAATAAGTTAGAGATGGCATTATAGAATATCCCACATAAACGTTTGCCACAGGGAGGGCCTATGGGATGGTGATTGGTTGATGGTGGATTCTAGACTGGTGCCAGCAAAGGACTGGGTGGTTCTTACTAAGCTCTAGTGATTATTATTATTTTTTTAAAAAAGGAACTTGGGCTACAATTTTGGTGAAAATAAGCCTGCTCTCTTCTTCTGGAAGTACTTAGGGATCCTCTCTAAAGGGGGCTCCCTTTTAAATTAAAGGACTTAAAAAACAAAACAAAACGGGATGTGCTTCCAGTAATTAAATTTCCAAGGTTTCTCTTATCGGCTCCCATACCCCACCTCCTTTATCATGTTAAACAGTCTTCTTGCTTTTCTTATTCCTCCTCTCCAGGAGAGCGGTGATTAGAAACCACACCCACCCTCCAATGAAGTGCTGGAACTGGGGGAGGGAGGCCCGCTACCTGTGAACAAACATTGGCCCAGTCTCTGGACTATGCTAGTTTCTAGCCAGGTTGCCTCCAAAGTACCAGGACAGTGCTCTTGGCAGTCAATGAAAACAAATAAGACCTATAACATACTTCAGGAAGCTCTTAAATATGGATCAGTGTAAAGCTACCCCAAGAGAAACCCACCGCCCCCAGCTCCTTTTCCTCTTTGAAAAAACCTGTAGAGCAATGAACACACACATGGAGACACACACACACACACACACACACACACACACACACGTTTCTTTGCTATTAGAAAATTCTGTTTGCTTTCCTAATCTGTTTAACCATTCATTCATGAAGAGTGTGAGGCCACAACTAGGAAAAGGGAGTGACAGTACATCAGCCAGCAAATAGCAGTGACCAGGACTGAGTGGAGACTAAATTAAGGAAGCTACAATGGCCAAAGCAATTAAAATCTGAGAAAGCTTCCCTAGAAAACAACTGCAGTCTAAGTATTTGAACTTCATTTGTGTCAAAGTTGGAAAAGTAAAATTTAAGCCTCACTCAGTTTTACTCCAACAGTATTGAGTGGGCAAATGTTTAGTTCCACAGAGCCAGTGGGGGTAATGACTAGTATAGTTTGAAGGTCTCTCAAAAGTTGTCCACATTTATAAAAATGCTCTTATCTGAATCAAAATTAAAATGTCAGTGGGTTTCACAAAACCTAGCACACATAAATAGCTACAGAACTCTGCATTTCTTATTGCTCTATTCATTCAGACCCCTCTTCTAGAAGCTTCCAGTAGATCCCTAGAGCACCACTTCCTCTCATTTTTCCAACTGAGGACCTTTTCTGATCACCTTGACCTCTTCTCTCATTTAATATGTCTTCCCAGAATTTGCTGCCCTCAGTTATTGTGCCGGGTTTGGGTTGTCCCCTCTTCCTTTTCTTCATGGAAGAATCTAGGAGTGATTGCAGTGGGATGAAGTAGATGAAAGTGACTTAATTTTTAAAATTATTTTTAAATTTTAGTAACATGTCAAAATTAAGATAATCTACTTAAGTAAAAGTTAAATATACTAAGGGAGGTACTATAGTTCATGATTTTAGGGGATCCTTTCAGAGGCACTTCTTTGTTTCTGTTGTCGTCTCTGCCCTCTCTCTTCCCAAATTGCCTACAAGAGACCAGATGAAGCTCACCTGCTTCCCTGAAGTCACCCCGACCCAAACCAGAAGAGAGACTCCGCTTCTATTTATAGCTACATACTTAATTTCCCCTGCTTTGCATTTTTGTTATAAAAACAAACCATACTCATGAAAACAATAAATGAAATGAAAGGCTGGAAGGGGGAGGGGGTGTTAGGGCCCAGTTTTATGTCAGAGATGCAATTTCTAGGCTGCCTCTTTCACCGCTCAGTTTTAAGTAGTCTCACTTCACAGGTTAGGGGCTGAGGATTTAGATAGAAGATTGCCTAAGGAAACTGATGGACCCTCAGTTGGCCACATTGTAGGAGGTTTAAAAAATTGACAGGATTTCCCTCCTCACTTTTGAAGTTGTCTAAATTGGCTAGAAATCATTTTTCTTGGTGCCTTATTGGTTTATTCTTGCAAACCTTTATCATATTTCCACATTGTCAGTGAGCAGGGCCTGTGTGTGTGTGTGTGTGTGTGTGTGTGTGTGTGTGTGTGTGTGTTGTATGTAATTGTACACATGTACAAGCTTAAATAATGTTCGGGTAGCACTGTTTGAAAGTTGGTATTCATTAGGCTGTTCCCTCCTGGGCCAGGGCTGCACTAATCTTGACACCGGCTGCCAGGAGAAAACCTCACGATCACACATGGAACCTTAATAACAGCATCTGTGACCTGCACTCTCTAGTACAGAATGGGAACCCCAGAGCTAGGAAGCACAGTTGTATATTTTAATGAACTGCTACCCCTGCTAAAGAAGCTTCTTTCACTTTTGTGCTCCACAGAAAGACCTAGGGGGGCAGGAGGGACAAAGCTTTGAATAACTGCTTTCTAACACCGAATGTGGCAAACAGGACAGAGCACATCACAAATCCAGGCAGGTATGAGGTACAGTGGCTAAGAATTGCCTGATCCCTCTGCATGCCCTTTCTTGTCTCCAAAGAAATGTTCCTGGGCTGGGGAGGATGGTTCTGAAGAAAAAAAAGTACCAAGACATTAAAGAAGGTGAAGGGTGGGCAGGATGTAAGTAACTAACCTGACTCAGAAGCTTCTAGCAGCTGATGACAATTACAGGATGAGTCTGTCTGTGGTACATCCTTTTAAGACAATATTACTTCACGTTGTTACAAACTGTGTGTGTAGTATGTGTGTTTGTGGGTGAGTATATATACTTAATATATATTATATATATGAGAGATTTAGTGACTTTTGATACGGGTTTGGTGCAGGTGAGTTTATTACTGAGCCAAATGAGGCACACACCGAGTCAGTAGCCAGAGTCCAGGGCATTCAGTGCTTTTATGATTTCCTTATGTATGTAGTGCCTATCCCATGCAGTACCAGTCACTGCCAGGCCAAATCCAGAATTTACAAGTCATAGCCAGCAATCTTTTATTTGTAGACAATCAATTCGAATCTATAAATTATTACTGGCAAATTATTAGAATTCTGAATTCATTAACACTAACAAAAAGAAACCCAGTGTCTTGAGGAGGAGGTTCTATTTTGTTTGGCTTCTGGAAGTCAGTAGAACAGCAATTATATGTGGTTATGTTAGTCTCAAAATACTTGTTGACCTTATTTCAAAAAATTTTTGTATTATATTTGTGGAAGGTAAAATAATGGTTTGAGATTTTTATCAAATATGGAGATTAGTTATTTATGAAAAACGAAGAACTGTCTATTTTTGTTTCTTTGTTCCCAATTAATGTAGATAACTTTCTAAGATACATTAAAACAATGGTGAAGAAATGGAAAGATGGTGCTGAAGTCTTTTTCTCCTGTTTATTGAGAAGCACAATGCTGTCTTAGAGTATCTGAGTTGTGGAGTCTACCTGTACAATCAGATATGTTATTAATAAGTAAAATCAGACACATTCCAGACAGTGTTGTTTTACAATTTCTCCATCCATACACCGGATCTGTGTGAGTAGAAATGGTGTGTGCTCTGTACATCTGGCTGGGGGTAGAATTCCTAAAACTGTTCGTCATTCACAATGAACATCCACAACTAGGTATTGATCTCTAAATTCAAGTCAGGAAACTAAGAGAATAGAAATTGATAATCTGAACAGACATCAGACAACCATTGCCAGACTACCTTTAACGATGGCTGCCCTGCACAATGCAGATTAGCCACCAATGTACTACGCATGGGCCATTTTATGCCTAGTATGTCAGTGTTCTCCAGCAGTGTTCAGAGGCATAGTGTGTGGGAAAACATGAGTAATTGGGAGCTTAGAATGTGGAGGGCAGATAGCCCAAATCCACTAAGAGGTGACTGACTATAAGCATGAATTCAGTGTCAATGTGAGTGCTGCAGGCTTTATTAGATTGGTACATAAATGAGGGCAGCTGGGTGAGGGAGACTGGAACACAGTAGTGGAGCAGCATCCCGACAGAAAGCAGCCTTCCTTACATGTATGGGATTTTCTGCACAGCTCCCTCTTGCTCTTCCTGACTGGTTTTCACCCAGTGAAAAATGTAGGGAAGGGTAGTCACAAGCTGGAGCAGAGGGACCTTAGAAGGTGGGAGAAAAGGTGGGCCTGGGATGATACCTTCAATAATGCTTTTAAAGATTTAGTTACAGAGCTCTTCAGTTTGTCCAGATGGAAACCACACTAAGAGGCAGAATGGTGATGAGCATAGACTAGACAGACAGACTGACTGGAGATTCAAATCCCAACTCCACTGTGGATGGGCTCTCATCTTGGACACTTCTTAGTATTTCAGTTTTCTCATCTGTGGAAAAGGGGAGAACAGAAGTACTTATATTTCAGGATTCAGATTTAAAGGATTAAATCAGGTTCAGGTAAATAAAGCAAGGGGCAGCAGCTGTTCAGGAGAGAATGGAGAAACTGGGCTTTCAAAATAATTGCGGGGGCGGGGTGGTCTGACATTTCAACTCAGGCCCCCATGCTTGCTAGGCAGGGGGTCTACCACTTGAGTCACTGCTAGCCCCCTTTTTTTATTGGTTGGGTATTTTTTTGAACCAGCCTACCTTCTCCCGGGCTGGCTTCAAACAGCAATCCTCCTGATCCCTGCCTCCTGAGTAGGTAGGATTACAGGCATGAGCCACTGGTACCTGGCTGGGGTTTTAAATTTGAGTATGCAGAAGAATTACAGGGGGTTTTTCCTGTGAAAAACGTAGACTCCCAAGCCTCAGCTGCTGGAACTGAGATTTACTACTTTAGGGGCACCAGATTTTTTTTTTATAATGTAATTTTGGGGTATTTTTTTTGTAAATCTAAAATTAACATTTTAAAAAGTTGTAAAGATAACTCAGAGTTCTTGGATGCCCCTTACCATTTGCCCCTAATGTTAACCTCTTAATCTTCATGGTGCATTTGTTCCAACTACGAGACCAAGGTTGGCACATTACTGTTTAGACTTCAGCAGGTTTTCCAGTAGTTCAACTGCTCTGGGATCCCAACACTGTTGCACTTAGAGCAGCTTTGTTTTCTTAGGTGTTTTGAGCTGAGAGGCAGGTGTTTTGGGACCACATCTTGAGAAAATCTGGGACATTTAAAGGACAGAACAAAGCCAAACTGGCTGACCCCCAAGCTGGGGAGATGAATGCAATTTTAAGGGAGAGGGAATAAATTGGCAGTAATGGGGAGAGATAGATGTAGGTTGATTTTTATAAATGGATTACCTTAAAAACAAAGCTCCAATGACAGATGAAACGGCCGATTTCAGAAGGTAGGGATGCTACCCAGTCCTCAGGGGAAATGCTTAGTATGTGAGTCGGGAACAGCTGCCTTAGGGATGCAGGTAGGCTTTGGGCTCCAACAGGTGAGCAAGGGGATCCAAAGGGCCATTTAGTCATCTAGTCCCAAGAGCCATGAAAACCTGCATTTCCTTGAACCTGGTGCTAATGCTTTTGAAGTGGGTCACAGTAACAGCACTGAGTCTGGCCAGGTTGGACACTAACTGAAGGTGGTAGAGGAGGCTGGGATGGTCTGCTGTGGGCGAGTCCTAAGCCAAGCAGGAGTGGAACGGGAGGTGGATGCACACACTCAGCCTTCAGCAGTTCTTACACTGCAGATACAGTTTTTTAGAACTGAGAAGGTTAAGATGAAGCAGTAAACTGTGTTTTTACTTGAAAGCTAGCAGACTACTTTGGGTATACTCTGAGGTCTTCTAAGTAGGTACTACTGGTACCCGATGACTGAGGACCTTAGGTTCTAGACTGCCACTGAATTTCCCCAACCACATTCAAATCGCTTAGCCCTTAAGCAGTTGTAAGGTTAGGTGCTTTTGAACTTTTAAAAATCACCTAATATGTTCCTTTTAAAAGAATGTTAACTTTTTGGTGTTGTTGGGCTCAGGATTCCTCTTAATTTCTATACAATTTCACTTTCCTGGCTATTTTTCCTATAACCCACAGGTCCTAAAGAACAAAGTGGTATTCCTAAAATTTATCTCACAGTAAGTCCATGTTCTGTCACTTGCCAAATCTATTTAAAAACAGTTCAATGAAAACTGCCTTAGAAATCAAGTGGAACAGGCCTTCCTAACGTGCTTCTAGATCTTTTGTGGTGTTTGTTGGCACAGTGTCAGGGCTTGCAGGTGGGCAAGTGGCTGGCAGACTTCAGGTAACCTAATGCTTGACTTGATAGATGCTAGGCACAATTCACAGATTCTGTATGGAAACTAGCACTTACTTGGGATATTTCTCTGCCAGCTGTCAAGTGCTTTTCCAAGTAGTGCTGTATTCAAGAGTGCAGCTTCTGGGTGAGGGAACAGTCAAGCTAGTCATTGTAAATGTGGTTAGAGAGAAGGGTGGTGAAAGGTTTTAGCTAGCCTGAATGCTGCAGCTGGTTTCCAAAAACACTGCCTAACCTGAATACAGAATGAAGACTGGACTGTTTTCAGGTTATTTGAACCAAAGAATATTGTATTTAGAGACATAGGAAACAACAAAGTTGAGCTGCTGAACTGTTATAAAACCAGGAGTCACTGCTGTTGGACTTCAAGAACACAGACATACACTAGAGCTGGGGATTGGCCCAAGTGGTAGAGCACCTGCCTAGCAAGCATGAGGCCATGAGTTCAAACCCCAGTACTGCCAAAATAAAACAAAAAACAAACCATGGGCATATGTGGATAAAGAGGGAATACTGATGGGTGGGTCAGGATGGAATTTGATACAGTGAAAGAAATTTCTCTTTAACTACAAACATTAAGCACCAAAAGTTCCCATGTGGGGATAAACCACATGAATTGCTGATCCTGGTCTTTTCCTTGTAATGAAAACAACAAAGGTCAGTCCACAATATACCAGTTAAAACTAAAAAAACAAACAAACAAAAGAAAATGAGTGAGTCCAGGAAGGTATGCCTTTCTATAGTCTTTCTAGGGAAATGCCACTTAGCACCTATTAACAGCTTGGTTCCCATGCCCCTTGACGTTGGTCAGAGAACTTGCTTACAATGACCTTCATATTCTTTCCCTAAGTTGACCCAATTTCCCACTTACCAAAATGACTGTATTGCCTTCTAGAAGGCCAAAGGGGGAAGAGCAATCTTTAGTGATATTTATTCTGCCAACCTTTTTTTGGCAGTACTAGGGTTTCAACTCAAGCCTTACACTTGCTAGGCAGGCACTCTACCACTTGAGCCATTTTGCCAGGCCTTTTTTGGGTTGGGTATTTTTGAGACAGAATCTCTCAAACTATTTGCCTTCAATTGTGATCCTCCTGATTTCTGTCTTGAGTAGCTAGGACTACCAGTATGAGCCACCACCACCTGGTCCAACTTGTTCTTAAGTCACTCATGTCTAATGTCCCTCCAATTTACCTTTTAAACTTTGACCACTCACTTACTTCGAATTTCTGTTATAAGGTGCAAATTATCTTATAAACAGTCATGTGTAACATCTTTTCCTTCTAAACTAAGTCAGTTCAGGGTTCACAGCGTGGCTCGAATGGCAGGGCACCTGCTTAGTAAGCACAAGGCCCTGAGTTTATCCCAGTACCACCAAAAAAATAAAATAAATTCAAATAAAGTCAGTTCATTTATCCTAATCAGCAATGTACAAGAGCAAAGGGATCAGTTATCTTAAAATCTGATTTGTTAGGTACCCAGAAAGTACAAATGGATACTTTAGCAATACTATTAGGATTCAGTAGGAACTGCTGAAGCTGGGTGGCTAGGCTCTTAAACCTTAGCGATTTGGTGTATTTCTAATTGAAATGTGAACTTGAGAACAGCATGTTAAAGTCAAATTGTATGACTTGCTTTAAGCGACCCCAAGTTTAGTTCTTATACTTCTATTTAACTGTTTAGAAACCTCAAATACCTCATGTTCTAACTCTACCCTATTCTGTCATTCCTTTCTCTTTGGTACATTTTACCTAATAGTATCTTCTAATGTGCTTTTCCCTCTCAGGAACAATAGTGAACTATTTAACGATGCCATCTAATACACCATGCCACTAAGGACTGTGACCAGTGAGTTTTGGTGTAATAAATTATCTTCGGGTGGAAAAGAGCCTAAGAAAGGAAATCATTACTACACCTTACCTAGAGGCATGGATCAAAGTAGCAGTTTTAATGCTCAGTTTGAAAATATTTGAAACATACTAGGACATTGAAGTTCTGAAGAGATGAATTGCTTTGTGAACAGAGAGAAATGTTACACACACACTAGCCATATTTTAATTAAAATAGAGTTTATTAGCTTTTCTTTTAATATAAACATGAGAAAGAAAAACCACGTTAAGTTGTAGCATTCTTTTCAAAATAAAACTGCAATCGATACTTGAATTTCCAAGCTCTGAACTCCATTAACAATGTTGTTTTTTGAGGTGGTAGATTGTAGTTATTTCATACATCATTACTGATCACGTATGTCTCTGTCCTTTAAAAATGATGGAACCTGCAGCACTCAATATCCTGTGAAGCACTGCTGTATTAAGAGAAAGTATTCCTGGCCCAGAAAGGTTTCACTTACAGGCAAGATTCCTCAGATGACATTTGACAAGATAAATAGGTTTCATATGGTTGAGAACATTAAGGTTTTGGGTTTTTTTAACATTTCAGATTTAAGTGGCACTGTTTTTAATCTCCTAAACTTATTTACTCCCTGATCTTTAGAGCCTGACACGTATGTTCCCTCTTAAATACAAGTACATGAAATGGGACACCTACAGCCAGGTTAACACGTAGAGTAGATTGAAAAAAACACTTTCATTTCACCTGCTGCTATTGGGGTCCAATTCTTTTTCATTTATCATATGTGAGTTAACACTTTTTATAATCTTCCTTTACAAATCTAGAGAAAGGAAATTTAGGTGATCACAGCAGATAGAGCCCAGTCCTATGAAGACCTATCTAAAAAGGGTTCTTCCACACAGATACAAGGTATCCCAAAAAACAATGCAATTTTAAGTTTTGATACCTGTAGAAGTACAAATGCTACAAACTTACTAAACATCACTTGAGAGTTAAATTACACTTCTTTTAATTTTGCATATTTGGAATATTAAGCTTTTAACTTTTTTAATTTCAGTCAATGTTTGCCATCTTCAAGAGGGACTGAAATTAAAAATTAAAGTTAAAAGCTTAATATTCAAAATTTACAAAATTAAAGTTTTCAAATGATGTTTTGTAAAAATGTGTAGCTTTTTTACTTCTGCAACGCCCGGAGAGCCCAAGCATAGCAAAGCTTAAAACTGCACTACAGCTTTCAGGACACCTTGCACTTTGCTATCTGCTACTTATCACTGGGCCACTATGTTGGGTGGCATTATGAAAATATCTTTTAATACAGTTATTTAACAAATAAGAGGAAAATTATCAGGAAATGAAAAGCACCATTAATAGTTCACAACTAATGCAGCATGGGCCCAATACAAGTGGTAACTGATACTTTCTCTTCATGACTGAAAACATGCCAAAAGGCTGGTTTAAGTCTTGCTTGCAAAGAATATGAATGGCAAATGTTGTCCAGCAGCTTTCTGGTTTAAACTGATTACCAATAATGACTAGCAGCTTTGATAGTACAGTGGGAAGAATCTTCAATACCAAACAGTGCTACAATCTGCTCCTAAGTGGTTTCATGAGTGTTAAGAGTCCCATGTTTTGGGCTGGGGCCAATGGTTGGGCATCCACCTAGCACATGCTAGGCCCAGGTTTAAGTCCTAGCCCAAGTGGAAAATGGAATGGACAAAAAAAAAAAGTCCTATGTTTAAATGGTAATACTGCATCAATTCTAAAGGTATTTGCAGCAGTATTTGGAGGGAAGGGGAAGGGAAGAAAACATTGAAGTTGTATGGTTAGTGTCTTTAACTCTCAAATTTTAAATTATTAGTCAAAAAAACCTCACATAGTTCACAGCTTTTTGCCTACACAGTAAGCAATAACTGCGTGTGGGTTCGGAGCTTTTGCTTTGGAGTGGTTTTTGTAACTGTTTACATTAAAAAGGACAGAAAGTGTGTTGTTGATTTCACAAGGTCCCATTCTTTCCTATGGAGTGCAATTGTCATTGTCCACAAGTCTCTGAATTCAAGGTCTTCTCTTTCGGTGAAAATATTGACTTTGCCGGTTTCTAAGCAGGAGGGTGGGGTTTCTCCAGGCTTTGCAGAGGAGCCCATGAAGTTACCACCCCGAGCCCCTAAGAGAGTATGGCATTAGAGCGCTGAATACCAATGAAACTGTCAGCGCTGAAAGATCTTCTCATAGCAGCTCTACACAAGTCTTTGTATTTGTCTTCACACAATCTTGAAATGGCCTAGGAAAGTCAATCAAATAGAACACAGGGAGAATTTTAAGAAGAATTCTAACTTTAAAGACAAAAACAAAACAAAAAGCTCCACTGATCTTAAGCCATGCTTTAGATTACTTCACAGTTGCCAGGACTTTGGCTATCTGAGGTCTGTACTGCCAGGTTCCAGGGATGCTACTTCCTGCCAATTTGCTAAAGTAACATCCTTTAAACTTAGATTACTGGGAAAGAGGAACTTTATTAAGTTATTTAAAATTAAGTTCCCAAAGAGGTCAAAGATGTGACAGGCTCAATAGCAAGTGCCTGTGCAACTGTGCAAGCACAATGAACAGACACCTGTGCAAAGCAATCGGTGTCTATTCACCTATTCAAATTCTACCCAATCTTCATGAGATTATTATATACACTAAGGAAATTTCAGTGAGGTAGGCATGTACTGCACTGGAGAACAGGAAGGGTCTAATGACTGAAGCATCAGAAAGTACTATACTTCACTTGCACATTAATTACAGTAGAAAAAAAATTATTGTAAAGTACACCAAGATGTCACAGAAAATGCCATTTCAATGAGTCCATTTTAGTTGTGAATATTACTCTGCCCCATGTAAGTTACCACTTCCATCAAGAAACCTACATACTTCCTTCATCCAGTATTTGTAACACACACACTGAGTAAAAAGCAGTTGAGTATGTGAATAATGTAGATATAATTAGGGATACAATTGTAAGAAATTATCCGTGTACGGTTATGTGGAAAGGTAGCAGCTCAAAAGGAAAACTTAAGAACAGGTTAAATTTGATAGACTCAGGAATTATGATGCCAAATGATTAATAAGATCTTCCATGTGTTAACTGAAAAGCTTTCCATTTTCTTCATCACTACGCAATATGGTTTAGTTGCAGATGTGGTGTCAGTGGCTCACAGAAAACCACACATAGTGAATGCAGAGCCTTACCTCTAGGTTCTGTGCTCTTTCTTTGCTGAGAGGAGAAAATAGAAAATTCAGGTTGTTGTCATCTGCTAAGGAGCGAAGGTCAAAGTAGTATTTGGCATAAACACTGGCAGGAACATTAATATTAAACTGGAGTAGCTCCAAGAAATGCCTTTCCATCTCATTCCTGGGGGAGGAGGAACACAACAAAACCAACACAGGACAATTTTAGTCAACTGGGCTATCTTCAAAAATATCATTCTGAGCTTCTAGGATGGCTCTCAACTCTGTTTTGAAACAAATAAAGGCTACCCAGCTGGATTAATACACTAATGCTCAAACAAGGTACAGCTATTTGTGGTCCTTTCTGCATCCCAGCACTCTGAGTTGGGCTGAGGGGAAAAGGTTACGGCCCTCTCATGCACTCATGCTGCTGACTCGGGGGCTCATTCTTCAGAGTTCCATTAGTGCAGCTGTACGATTCATACTCCACGCTCACTCACAAGGCCCCACTATAGTGAGCAGATGAAAGGAATGATGTATGCTGTTTATTAGCTCTGAAGAACTTGCAGACATTTTCACCGGGCTGATAACAGGAAGGGGCTTATTGAAGTAGAGAAGCGCCAACAAAAGGAGTGGGCACATCACCACGGCAACAAATGGATCCATCGAGAGCCATGCTATTATCTCTGAGGGGGAAAAACTCTTGAGGCAACAAGGATTCATCTCAAATAAATAAATAAATAAGCCACATCGGATGGGAAAGGAAATCCCTTCCCCCTGCCCCAGCACATGAGGCTATGTCAAAGGCCATAATGCAAGTTTCTGCTCACCTTAATACTACACTAAGGTGAGAAACCGTCACTTATGGCAGTCAAAATGCACACTTTAAACTGTGGAAGACAAAGATCAAAGACAAATATCTTGGCTAGACTAAATCCACTTTAGGATATGACCTCTGGTAGAGCACCGAACTTATAAACTCTGACTCTGTGATGAGAATGAACTCCCAAGATGCTCAGCATCTGCCGCCGCTGGCCAGAACAGCATGTACACATACACGCAGAGGCAAGTTTAACAGTGGGGAGGGGAAGGCTGGGAGCAGTCCTCTGCTACATAACTGTACAGCTACCCTGCAGAAGGTTTAAGTCAATAAATATAAAATTAGAGCAAATCTGAGCACTTTCACAAGAATCTCAGTAGAAATTATGTAAAAAAATTAATATTTAAACAGACACGAGAATGGCTTATTTTACAACATGTATAAATATTACAAGGTTTCTTGGTTTAAAAACAATGCTTGTGTTCTCCTGTCTGTAATAGGTAGAATATGAGCAGAGCTGTGGTTTTCTCATTTACTGAAATTAAAACCAACCAGCCTACTTCCAAAAATTAATTTCCTGTTCATATGACAGTAGTCTATAGAAATGTAAATCAGATAATGTTTTGATAATCATCTAATCAAGACTTAATTTACTATGGGAATAAATGCCCTTCACTATTCCCTTTATATTTTCTCCACTAATACATTTTAACTGTGTAGAAATACAGTACTTCATGGGATTAACATGTCTATTAATAGAGGTTTAATCATTGAAGAAAAGCATTATGCCTACAGAATATGCATCTTCTGGGTTTTTTTTTTTTTTAATGGCTGAATAGCATACCATTTATAGGCACAGCAAATTTTCTGAACAGCAGCTGCTATTCCTTTGAAGGGAAATATAGTTTAACAAGACCCAAAGATAGTGGAAAGTTTTAGGAAAAAATCTGATAGCCACTGATTTTTGACTTTTTCAATTTAGACTCAAAGTAAGACCATTACAAATAGCCAACAGCAGGGGGATGAGACAAATGTGTATTAAATACTTTCTTGTAATGCTTTCCAATTTCCAAACAAAAGCAGCTTGCTTCTAGGAACATGGCTCCTGGTGTTTCTCTGTTCATACACAGAAAGCGTGGTGAGAAATGGGGCTGCAGCTAGCCCCACCACTACTGCCCCTGGGGCTCACATTTGTGGAAAATGACACATTTCCCTGCATCTTCTCTCATCTTATAACTAGAACAAGCACCTCAGACAGCTTAGTTGCAGGTTTTGAGAAAATTTCAACTGACATCCTGCCACGTCTACTGCTCATAATTACAAATTTTACTTTCTTCATAGGACTAGTTTATAGTCACTTTAACTTCCAAAAGTCCTTCCATTTGTTTCAAATTCTGTTGTCACATCCTTTGCTAAAATGGCTACCAGCAATATCACCACAACCACTCAGTTTACACAATTATCAAATTAAAGTGGTCATTTTCACCAAAAGGTACTTCAATAATCCCTGGGTCCCTTCCTGGCCACAGGTGTCCTCACTTTGGTTATAGTTTGTTAATTCAGAGTGACAGTTTTATCTACAGAAATAAATTGGCAAAGAAAACAAACACAAGCCCTCCTTATGATCTGGATCTCCCTATGATGCTCATACAATCAAGAGGTTTCTTCCTAAATGCCTCCCACAAAGACATTTTCATTGTCAAGTGGGCACTTTGAAAGTCTGCTGGAAATACCTCCCCTTGCTCATCCTACCCACCAACTTCAGGGCCCTGCCCTTCACAGCAGGCAGGGTGGCCAAACTGGCCTTGTTATGATGGTGGCCACTTGTGCTCCCTGTACTCTCATAGTTACCTCAAGGCCCACAAAGTGATGCTGTGGTTGGGTAGCTGAGAAGCAAGTGCTCCAGCAATGCTTCTCAGACTGCCTGAGAGGAATCCTGGAGCTTCCTAACCCATCAGACCAACTTCTAAACACAGACAACTGTCCAAATGGGGCAGGGGAAGGAGGCAGGAGCACAAGTCTGAAATCATTACTTTTGGTTTTTGAAATAGAAGTTCAGATAAAAAGGGAAGAAAGACCAGCAAAAGCAAGTATGTAATATGTGACTCAGGTTGAAAGTAAAACCTCTCAAATGTCTAGGAGCCCTAAGACCTTAACCGTGACACTTGTTTCAAAGGCCAGACATTCCCCTTAAGAAGGGCTTTGAATGGATAGACTGCCTTTTTTTTTTTTTGGTGGTACTGGGGCTTGAACTCAGGGCCTTCACCTTAAACTATTCCACTAGCCTGATTTTTGTGAAGGGTTTTTTGAGATAGGGTCTCACGAACTATTTGCATATGCTGGCTTCGAACCACGATTCTTCTGATCTCTGCCTCCTAAGTAGCTAGGATTATAGGCGTAAGCCACCGGCACCCAGCTTAGACTGCCTATAAAGAGATTATAACTTGTTGTTCTGGTGGTAAGACCACCAGAAAACCACCTTTCAATTTACCAAAAAATTATTGTGATAGTGATACATTAAGACCTACCAATTAATGATGGGAAATATGAATTGTTACACAGCTGGACAGAAAGTAGTTTTATGTCTATTTCCATTATCTGCATAATGTAACCTTTAAAAATATTTCTTAAAATGTAAACTTTATGGGAGCAAATGAGTTACTGGAAAATGGTTAGAAAATTCACCCAAACCTTACAAACTCACATGTCCTCAACTGTAATGTCCTTGAGGATCTGGCAGTAGTCCACATTCCATACAGCCTGATCGTCCCAAACCTTGGAGGCAAGAAGAATGGCTCCCAAAACAATTCTTTTCCAGTTAGTGGGACAAATGTCGATCTCAGCATAAGTTAAAAGCCTTTCTAAGTAAACCTGCAAAAGTAGAGCACTGGTCTTTGATTTTAGTTCACTTCAAGTGCCATGTTAAAACTATTTATGAATGACAGATTTCTTCTGTGACCAGAAGAAAGTGCCTTTTATTTTTAAGTTCTATAGAGACTTTGCTCAGTCAAAGCAAGAGACCAGATCACAGGTCTGACACCTGTGATCAGAGGTCAGACACCTCTGCTGCCTAATCTGCTCATGCAAATTTCCAGCCCAATTTTGGTCACAGGAGTGAACATCTCAGCAAAGGGCATCCTGAAGAGCAGAAACCACCTTCACACTCTTAAATGGCAGCACACATAAGTCCAGTGCAGATTAAAATTGTTCAATAAACCTGAGTGCCTCCCGCATGTAACGTACCACACCTAGCTGGTGACTTCACAGTGATTTTGCAGGTATGCCATGTTTCAATGTGTAAAACCCAAGGCACAGTGAGTTCACTTTAATCTTTTCATTTTCATACTAACCAACCCTGTGTGGCACTACTTGAAAGAACTGGTAGACAAGAGAGCCTCCCAGTGGCTGCCAAGCAGAGCAGCACAACAGCAACAGTGCCTTATAAAGGATATAAAAGGATATCCTTCTCATAGTCCTTATTTTTCACATCTCCACTATCACTTCAATGAGAGTTCATTTTCTCTAGCCTATAATCTACAACCAAGCCAATTCTGCTGACTTTAAGGGGCAGCAGAGCTGCCTGTTCTCTGTATCCCTGGACTCTGAAACCAGCCGGTCTCATGAATGCTATTACATATATCAAACACCTCTTCTACAAAAAATTGGGTGATATTTACAGTTGAGTAAAAATTATAGAGGAAGTTGTAATTTATTGTTACTTCAAAGGGTGCTCTGCAGAAGAGCGTAAGTACTCCCCTCAGTATCCATCAGAGATTGGTTCTAGGACCAAATCTAATTGGAAACCAAAATTTGCAGGAGCTCATGTTTCTTGTACAAAATGGCATAGATTTGCATGTAACTTATGTATATTATTCCATACACTTTAAATAATCTCTAGATTACTGACAATGCCAAATACAACATTAAGTGCTATGCAAACAGTGTTATGCTATGTCATTTAGAGAAGGACAAGAAAGACACCTTATCCCCCGGCCCCCAATATTTTCGAACCATAGTTGGTAAAAATCACAGAGGTCAAAGATATGGAAGGTAAACATTCTGTACATACTATTTGAACTCTATATTGAGGCAAAAAGAACAAAGTCCACTTTTAAGAGTTTATTTACTGTTTGAAGTTATTAAGACTGACAGTTCAGATGTGACAATGTTTAAACTCAACTGTTTTAAAAAACAAAGTGGCTTCTGAACATGTTTTTAGGGAGATTCTCCTTCCATTTCCCAAACTTGGCACATTCTCAGGTATCTGAAGAATGAACCTCCCCCCACGGGATACAACTCTCTTATAGAAATAATTAAAGAACAATGAAACATTGGCAATCCCTCATTTCCCCTTATTGATAAGCTTGTTATGTAAGGACACTCATATCACTTGTCCTTCTGTGTCAGTAGAGAGTACTTTTTCACACTAAAGCCAACTCTTAGTGCAGCTAAAGCCATCCCACTTCTGCAGAACACTGTCCCCACGATAAATTCTTTTGAAGTCTCTCAGATTTTCCCCAGAGTGTTTACACTGTTCCCATCCCATTCTCCACCATCCCCAGAATGCCTCCTCTCCTTGCTCACTGTCATGCCAGCTCCTCACCTCCCACTTTTTGTTTGTCCCCTGTTGCTTTACTAAAAACTCTTGATGAGGCCATTGGTACCTTCACACTTCACTAACAAGCTCTTCATTCCAACTCTCCACTCCCCAAGTCTAATATTTAAGGCACTCACTGCCACTTGCCTAGTTGCTGGGGCCAAAACCCAACATCTCAGTTACCCGACTCCAATCTGTTAGCAACGCCTGTCCCCAAATACTTTCACTGGTAATCTGATGGCTATTCTGAGCCACCATTTGTCACTGCTCCCCTGCATCACTGGCCCTCTTCTCTGCTTCTCCTCTGACCCCTGACAACTACAGTCTACTCTCCCTAAAGCAGTTAGGAAAATCTTTAGTCCCTGCTCAAGAGGTACCAAACGTTAACTCATCATCCTGGCACTTAACTTCTTCCCATGACCTGAGAGCTGTGAGGTTCTGAGAGATTACTGGTATAACCTCATCTTCCTTGTTCTTTCCCTCATTACTACTCCTGCCACATGCACCTGCTTTTCCTTCAATACAGGAAGCACATTCCTTCATCACAGTCTTGGCACTTGTCCTTCTGCCTGTAACACCTATGTTTTTGGCTTCCTGGCTTCAGTCAGGTCACTATCCAAATGTCACCTTCTCTGGGAAGGTTCTTCCCAATCATTCTCTCCAAAATAGAAAGCCCTCTAATTACTCTTTAACCCTTTACCCTGCTCTATCTTCTTGGCATTTGGCACTACCTGAACTATTCTCTCCTGGTTCTCTATACTCTAGCCACTCCTCTGGAGACTTGGCCCATAAATGCTAATGGTAGATCTGTGAGGACTTTCTCTCCACTTTTCATTGTACATGTTTTCTCTGCATTTGAACTGCTACTGTTAATTCCTTACTTCTGATCAGATTCATGTTCCAGTCCTGTTCTCCTTAAATGACCAAACATTGCCACCCTGCTCTCACAGGAACATCAACTTACTTTGTCTACAATGAGCTCTCCTCTTCTAACTCAGCTCTCCTTACACATGAAGTGCCCATTATGGGGGTTCCTTTCAAGCATACAGGTAAAGCCCTCTCTCTAAATTCTAAAGAAGTACTGAGTAGGTACTCTTTCCCTTAAGGCCATGCAATTGACTTTCCACTGTGCATTTGCTGGAGGAAGGAGCAAATTTCAACCACTTTATTGTTCAAAATGATAGTCTTACCATAGGGATTCTGTATGGTTAACAAAAAGGTAAAGACACAACTGCAGGTTAGCAGGTTAACAAAGCCTTTCTGAGAACTATTGGTACCACAATCTTGGGCATCGACATACACAAGAGGTCAGGAGGGATGGATAAACACCCTCATCCAAGGAACTGAGAACTGAAGACAGTAATTCTCCAGCAATTTTTTTTTCTTTTTTTTGGTGGTACTGCAGTTTGAACTCAGGGCTTCACGCTTGCTTTTGGGCTTCATTCTCCTTTTGGGTCACACCTCCAGCAAGGACAGTAATTCTCAATCATAACACACATCAGAGTTCCCTGGGGAAGATAGCCTGGAACTTGGCTTAGATCTGCACTGAACTAGTCTCTGTAGACTGCACCCCACCCCAACCTCATCAGCATACCCTATGAGTGCATATATGCTACATATGCATGTTTGTACTGAGATGTGGTGGGGAGAAATTGCTCCTACTGCCTTTAATAGCAATTGTTTTGTGATTAAAAAAAAAGTAATGGCAACATTTTAAACCGTAATGATTATTGAACCTAAATATGTTATTTACTTTCCTTTGAAAGACTTCTCTTAAACTTCTGATGATAATTTCAGGAACTTGCCTTCTGATGACAACTTTGGGGACCTACCATGCCTATACAAGACCATTTTCTAAAGATGTTTGATAAATAAGGAATATCTTACCAAAGTTACTATTGCACATTCAGCTGTTAGTTGTGCAGCACTAAAAAGAGTACGAACAAATCTGTAAATAAATTTGTGCTCAGGGTCATGCTTAAAGTATTCCTCTGGAACCTTCTCTCGCTGAAAGAAAAAAAAATACAATGTAAGTATCCATTGAAGAAAACATTTTCAGTATTTTTTTTCTGTACTTGTTTCTTTTTGCAGTATTCTTACCATAGCAGTCTTCACATTGTGCCCACATGTCCATGTAACCATAGCAATGGGTATTTCTCAATGGTCACACTGTGCATAGCGGCATTTCAGTCAATGGTGGACCACACTCACAACAGCAGTCCTAGAGATATTACCTACTGGCACTGCAGCTGTCTTACTTTGTGTAAGTGCACTCTGCAATGTTTGCAGGATGACAAAATCACCTAATAACACACCTCTCAGAATGTATCCTCTTGGTAAGCAACACATTCCTCTACCATAATTATTCAATACCCATCACCATTTATAAAGAAAAACAGACACTTTCCACTTTCCCTCCAGAGAATTCTATCCAATTCTACTTTTAGGCTGAGAAGTCCTACTGATCATGCCATCCTGTTTAGTTTCCTATAGCAACAGGCTCTAAGGCTGCACAGTCCAACAGAAGCTACATGTGGCTACTGAACACTAGAAAGTATCTTCATATGTGCTGAGGAAATGACTTTTTAAATTTTAATGACTTTTTATTTTTGTTTTATGAGTCAGGGTCTTGTTAAGCTGCCCAGGCTTAAACTCACCATCTTCCTGCCTCAGCCTTCTGAGTGCTGGGATCACAGGTATGCAACCCACATGTGGTCATGCCATTTTAACTGATTTTTAATTCTTGGACTGGAGGCGTGGCTCAAGTGGTAAAACGCCTGCTTAGCAAGTGCCAGGCCCTGAGTTTAAACCCCAGTACTACCAAAAAAAAAATTTTTAAATTCTCTTCATAAAGACTTTATATGTTTGTTGGAAGTTATTTAATTTACAAATATTTGCATTGTTTGATGTTACTAAAATTATCTTTTGAAAAGCTATTTTCTGTTATTAGGACAGTACCTTTACTCACCTTAGCTCACTAATTAAAGAAAGCTGCAAGTCAGTTCTTACTCTATTATATCCCTGATAGAACACCGTTTTCTAAGATAATTAGATACAACGTGAGTTGGGAAAGATGATTTTAATTTCAAGATGGAGTGATTTTTTTCTAATGATCTCAAAGCAAACCAGTATGAAATAAACTCAAAGAAAAATATAACTTCAAAAAAGCCACACTTACTGTGAGTGGATGTGATCTCTCATCAAAAATATCCAGGGATCTGTTTGCATCTCTGTAAAATAAAAATGTACATTACCCTCTGGGGTACAGAGGGAGTCAAGAGGAAAAGCCTAACCTTGAAAAAAAGCAAGCAGTTGTATAAATTTTCCTAGATTCTGCCCTAAAACCTCTTTTTATTTAACACATCCAGTACTGTGAGACCCTTTCTACAACGGTCAGACCCTCTTAAACAGGCTGTGATAATAAACCAAATATATTTTCACTCCTCATACAAAGCAATAGTGGTGGACAAGCAAGAATTTAAAACTGTCATGAATGTGAATGAGATCCAGATGTCTCATATTTTTCCTCTCTCTAGTCTGTATTACATTTGTATCATGTATTTGTTTCTTCTAGTTTGAGTTAAAGACTTCAGTGGCCTTCTTATTTTAAAAAGAGACCAGTCTTTTCATTGAAAAGTTTATTAAACTAATAGACCATGTTCATTCCAGTGATTCTTTGAGATCTGCAGCTCTCTGGAGTTCACCCAGGCAAGCCCTTGTTCAGGAAGCCCAGGAGGCCAAAGCTGTTCTTATAAAACTATTGAGATATTATCGCTTTTTTGCCACTGTGCATTTGTAATGATTGCAAAAAAGAAAAAGTGAGTAAGACTGCTGATTTTTCAGCATCAATCAAGGTTGTGTCACCAAATTATAGCAGTAGTCATTTTATCCTTCACTGCCATTTTTAGTAACAACAAAAAAGCTCAATTCACTTAAGCATATCCTTGCTGAAGCAGTAAAAAGTAATGTTAGTAAATCTTGACTTTACTTTTTAATATTCTGAGGAAACAGACGTTCACATACAGCATCAATTCTGCACACTGAAGTATGGTTGTGATAAGGAAAAGCACTTGTGATTTAGCTATGACCTGAACAAGTTGCTTATAATAGAACATCATTTTTATTTGAAAGTACAAATATTCTCAAAAATGAATGAAGTGGTGACTAGAGGTGTGGCTCAGGTAGTAAGAACGCCTGCTTTGCAAGTGTGAATCTCTGAGTTCAAACTCCAGCCCCACCGAAAAGAAAAATGAGTGAGGTGGACCACCTGTCACTTCAAGGAAAAATAAGTATTTGTTGCCATGATAAAAGCCAGCTGTCAGGCTTTTAAAAGATCAATTTTTGGAAAGCTTATACATTCTGCTCTATACTTGATAGCTTCTTAATACTTTTAGACTTTTTTGGTAAGACTGGTGGTGATATAACAATGAGCTTTTTTATATTAAAAAAAAGCCTGTGAACCAGTATTTTCTAAATGATCAATGTATATAAAATCCTGTACTGGTAAAAGATCTATTCACTGTGCAAGACAGATTAGCATTAATGTATCAAGTTCACTGAGATGATGTAAAATTCCACTGTAATTAATTTAAGACATTAACCCTTGTGGGGTTTCAGGATAATATTGTTAAAGAACATACAGAATTATCTGAAAGTTTTTAAGATGCACCCTTTTCTATGTGTCTAAATGAGGAGGTGTTGTCTTACTGCTTTTTCAAAACAAATTACAACTGAAGACAGAGAATCTAGCTGTCTATTAAGCCAAACATTAAAGAGAGCCACAAAAGTGCAAAGAACATACTTTTCACTAAACTTTCTTGATGGAGAAAAAGTTATTTAGGAAAAAATATATTATGTTAACAAAGTGGTTCTTAATCAGGGACCATTTTGGTTGTCACAATGGGGGCGGGGAGGGGGGAAGGTGTTACTGGCATGTGGTAGGCAGAGAACAACAATTAAACACTCTACAATGCACAGAACAGCCCCACAACAAAGAATTATCTAGCTCAGAATACCAAAGTATCAAGGTTATGGGAACTTGTATTAACATACTATATATACACATGTATTCTGAATTCTTAATTTTACTTTCTAAAACAGTGAATATCAAATCAATATAATCCTCAGAAACAAATACTCTTTAGGATGTTCAGTAACTTTAAAAGTGTTCAAAAGAGTCCTAAGAACAACCAAAAATTTCCAGTGATTCAATAGCTTATGGTGTCTATAGTTACGTCCTTATACTATACTTGGTACCATGCAATGTAATCAGACAGGTTTTTAAAGAGCTCACCTGTTCTTTATGTGGTAGTATATTGCTAAGGTCACACTGTGGAAGGAAAAAAAAAAAATTGTAGCAACTGATTTTATATTTTGGGATTGAAAACATTTTTAAAAAGGGAGGAGGGTGACCTTCCTAGAATCCCTCAAGTCCTCCCCTTCATCATAGTACCATAACGGACACTTTTCCTCTTGTTTTAGTACTTTGGCTTTTAGCAAAAATAGCAAAACTGAAATGCCAGGCAACGTACTGTTAGAAGACATGTTTTTGTTGGTTATTTTAAGTTATTACATATGTCCCATCATTTGCCCTACCCATAGTCATTCATCTTATGCAAGTTAGGTTTACTTGGACGCATGCTTCAATTTAAGCCACACAGTTTGTTTTTTTAAGTTGTTAGGCCCTACATTTCAGTTGACTTAGTTCATTCTCCATTTATCCACCATTTTTATTATTTTCCTAAATAATTAAAGTGTTGTGTACCAAATAAAGCATTTAAAATCACTTCTTCATGATTAGTAGAAAATTTATTAGTAAGTGTAAGTGCCCACAAAACTCATGATCGGTCTAGCTATCCTGAAGTAAGCAGTGCAAACAATGCAGCACTACAATACATAAGATAGTAACAGCAGGCATTTCCAAGTTAGTATAAATGAATATTAATTTATACATACAACCCCAGTCATTATGTTACTATATTCCTAAGCTACCGGCAAATGTCGTGTATTAGGGAAGAAAGGGATCTCTTTGGTAAGTTTTATGTTTCCATTTGCCCTCACTGTCTAAAAAGAAGCTAAAAATAATTGAGGGAAGGCAAATCTGAATTTTAAAGGTGTATAGTGTTTAAATTTTTTTCATTAAAACGTTTGTAACATTGGCAAAAATGGATACTTCTACAGTGCTTCAATTTTATCTCCAGACTGAATTTTTAAAATCTCAGAATTTTATGTCATATGCTGAAAAGGACGACCTGAAGCCTTACGTGACAGTTTACCTTAACAACCCAAGCAACCAAGGCTTAAAACTGACATGGCCAAAATCCCACTGAATTGTCAGAAGCAGTGCTTCTGTACTTAAACAGTGCTTCGCAAACTGCTGCACATTGGACTCACCTGAGGAGCTTTAAAACCAGCCTGACTGCCCAGAGACACTCTGATTATTGGGCCTGGGGTATGACCATCAGATTGTTTTTAGAGTTCCACAGGAGATTCTAAAATGCAGCAAAATTTGGGAATGACAATAGCTAAGATCAAAATCAGCCAGAATGTGGGTTGGCAGAGTGGCTCAAGCGGTAGAATGCCTGCCTAGCAAGCACAAGACCCTGAGTTCAAACTCTAAACCCCCCCAAAAAAAAGGCTCCCCAGAATGTTTTTATCTATATAATTCCACCTTTTGTGAGTGCCTATGAATGGAGGGGAAGGTAAAGGTGGGAAAACACGTGTGTTTGCAGATATGTATTTTGAAAAAAGTTGCATAAAGTGATTCTGTCTAATGAGGCTTATCCATCTCATTGACAGCAATGCACTACTACTACCCAATAAACATTTTTCAAAATCTTTCCTAAAAGCCATTAATTTTCTTAGTAAACCTTTACTTCACTCATAGTAAATGTACTGATTATTTTTAAAACTTAATGAAAGAAAACTAAAACTTACTGTACTTCCAAAAGCAGACTTCTAAAAATTAGAGTAAGTGGGGGTGGGGAGTGTGTGTGAAACCCACCTGTGTGAGGCAAGGTTACTCTTAAAAATGATGTAATGAATTATATACTGAAGCATCAGAAGCTTGTGAATTAAAAAAAAAAAAACAACAAAACTGAGTATTCTAGCCAAAGTAGAGTGATTTTTACTCATGAATTTAGGGCCTTAGCTGAATACAAACACTCAAGAGGTGCCAATCTCAGGACGTGAGCCAGAGTCAGAGATCAGTTTTTGCTACAAAATTTGATCAGCTATTGTTAAGTGTGGGAGGAATGATTATGAGTAGGAACTTGCAGTGTTTAATTAAGTAGAACTTACTAATAATTTAATTAGCTTTTATTAAAAGCGTGTATATTAGAGACAAATTTAAGTTTATAAGCTGATTACATTTTAGACTGAAAAGTAAAATTAGGGATAAGGGGAGTAACATTGCAAAGTAGTTAGTTTTCAGAAAACCAACTCATAACTAAAGCAGCATTAATAATGTTCCCTGAACAACCGCGATGTCGAGAGGAATCTCCACATCCTGGGCTTTACTGTTTGTAAAATGACTGATTGTCATTTTAGTAAATCTGGAAGTGTTATCTTAGGGTGTGTTGAAAGTACATCTTTAATTATGACCTCCAAGGTTGCTCAAGTATAAATGGGGAAAATTCAAATGCAGACACACTACGGTGTCAGTAAAGGACAAATTATTCCTTCTTCCAAGAGGCGTTCTCAAAGTAGTAAACATTGTTTTAGGCCTATTACTCAGAACAATTCAACAAAAAGTACCTCTTCTTCTCATGATGTTCAATAGTGTCTTAACAATGTAATGTATCAAATAAAGAGGTACTCTTCCTATAATTCCTTATTTGCTAACTGGCTGTCCTTTCTACCATGCAGTCTGAGATTAACATGGAAACTGAAAATTCACATTTAGATCCTTAAAATCAATATATAGTGGACCCCAATTTCTTAAACTAAGCACTGAAAAGGAAATCAAATGGCTGAAATTACCAGGAATGACTGGGATGCTTTTAGCAGAAGGGGGTCTGTCACTCAGCCCTCAGCAACCTAGTTGTACTCACCATTTTATTGTGGTTCTAAGATTAGGCTGGCTGACTGTGCTGTCATCTAGAAATATTGTTGAGCATGAGCTATACTTTTTAGTAAGCTGCCCTGGAGATACCTGAAGGGGAAGGGAAATAGAAGAAAATGTCACAGTAAGTTAAACCTATAAAATGTGGTACTTTTCCTTGGTTAAAATGTCAAATGGTAAAGCATTAAGATTTTTCTTACACACGATGAACTGCTTTTGAGTGCAGTATCATGTGTGGCTCTACAGGAAACCCATTGGAGGCTCTTAACTTTCAAAGATAATGTTTGAGGAATGGGTAATAAAATCCTATCCTTGGTATGGTCTCTACAATTAAACCTGGCAATAACTATTAGGAATTTCCTTTATAATTATTGTAGGAAGTTTAAAATTAAGGTTCAGTGTTTTTCTCTAAAGCAATAAAAAGCAGTTGAAATTTTCTATTTCTTCTACTCAGTAACTATAATAAAATGTAATGCCTTAAATAATGTCAGAACAAGAGCATGTTATTGGTGTAAAAGAAAGCGTAATGCTAAATTTAGTAATTCTAGATGTCTTAGTGTGAAGAAACAATGCTCAATCACTAACAATCCAGGGGCCACAGGACTTTCTGGGCCTTATCCCTTATGAAGAGGGTTAAATTACTGACAGAAGATTCTCTTACATCCCAAAACAGAAGACAGATACTACTTTGGGAATATAACTTACATTTCATGTTTAAGTAGACTGCCATTATATTACTGAAATGAAAAACCTCGGTCATTCATTTCAGATTTTACTAATTTTATTCTCGAAGTTATTTGACACACCTCATGACACCTTTCTGCTTCACTCATGCTGCTCTCACCTAGAATGCCTTTTTCTTTCTCTTTGTCCCAAAAGCCTGATCCCATCGACCTTCCGGCATACCTTTGCCAGCAGCCACATCACAAAACTTTTTGCTTTTTGTGCACTCATCCTCCAATTCACCACATGTTAAAGGATTTCAAGTGCTGGCATGATGTCCCCTTCTGAAGAAACTAAGCTTCTCCAAGGCTGGCAGGTGGGAGTGGTGGTGGGAGTGTTTGAACCTCTTAATATTCCTACCTCCAGCTCTGAGCAGAGTTTGGAACAAATTAGGGAGTTCAACAAGTATTTGTCAAACTATTATTTAATGGCTCAATTACAGGGCTGGGGATGTAGCTCAGTACTAGAGCACTTGCCCAGCAGGCACAGGCCTGGTTCATCTCCAGTAATGGGGGCTGGGGTGGGGTGAGGTGGGGTGTGAGGGAGAACAACCACAATTTGGAAGATAAATCTTTCTACAGGTACAAATTAGTGAAAAATTATCTACACTGAAACTGGAGAGATGACAATGAACTTTTTGAACTCTCTAAACAAACTATCTTTTAAACACTTTAGAAGTATCCATTTATTTTCAAAGAGTGCAGTAATTAAGCAATATCACATACTGAAACTGCCTAGAGTATGTTAAGACAATCTGGTCCTTAAAAGTTAGGCCAATAACCAAATTTCATCACTGAATAGTTACAGAGTAACAACAGCATTCTTTAAAACCACAGGATAACAATTTTAATGTTATTAAAACTAATTCAGATAAGCCTTCCTTCCTCCTATTAATATACCAGTTTTCGTCATGTCATCACTCTGACTCATCAGTATTGTCCACAAATTCATGAAAAACAGGCAGGCAGAAGACCCAGTTGAAAGTACAGAGCATTTAAAACTTGCTGGTGGCCCGCAGAGATATCCATATAGCATATGAAGCTGTTTTGCTTGTGTCAGATGTTTTCACAGCAAAGCTACTTATTCCTTAAAAGTCCCAGACATTATCATTTGAAAAGTGTAACTATTTGGAGGACTAAAAATTCTCTTTCAAGCTAGAAATATTTCACCTATATCTCTGATGTTTCTTAAGCTATTCAGTAAATGAGTACACTCTTTACAGAACCATGTCAATGTGTATAACTTTATAAGTCAAATACAAATACAACATGAAGAGTGAAAATTGATTCACTGAAACCCTTTTGTTTTAAATAGAGGAAGGTATCTTTTAAGGTCTCTATTACTGGTTGAGGATTAAAATCCAAATTGGTAGGGACCATTAAGTGCTTTGGGTTTGGGAAATTTTAGAATATTTATGTATAATGATACACGGGGGATTTGACCCAAGTCTAAGCACAAAATGCATTTATGTTTCGTATACACACAGCCTGAAGATAGTTTTACACAGTATTTTTGGTTTGCCTATGTTTTCACATGAGCTCAGGTGTGGAATTTTTCACTTTGTGGTGTTATATCTGCCTTTTAAAAAGTTTTAGATTTTGGAGCATTTTGGATTTCTAAATACACCATAACAAAAAAAAAAAAAAAGCTGTATGGAAATAAAATATTAGAAATGAACAAAACAGTCAAAATGAATCAAAATATTGACTAGTTGACAGAGCTTTAGGTAACATTTTCTCCCATTTTCCTTATTACATTTTTTTTCTATCATGAATGTATACTGGCTTTTTGAAAATATCAGTGCTAAGTGCACAGCCTATGGGAGCTCATTTAGTGAATTAGTAACTCACTGGCTAGATCCAGTCAAAGGAGTGCTACATACTTCCCCATCAGTTCAGACTTGTGCTAAACTCCTACTAAAGATACAGGAATTATTCCATCCAGGGAGATATACATTTCTGCTACTCACTGCTCCTTGCCCCAGTTCAGCCCAATCCCAAATTTCAAGGTGACCAGAAAAGCTGAATACAAAATTCTCTGGTAACCAATGGGGCCCTGAGCACTCATTTCTACCTATTCAAACTTTTCAGTGTTGGGACTAGAGGACGGTTAAAATGAAGTTTCTGAACAAAGCCTAAAATATTGCTACAAGTAACTCTCTCCTCATCATGCTTGATAACTTAAGACCCTAGACACTATGGTTAAAACCTTACCATTGCTTATAATCTCAATATACTATACTGATAAATACAAAAATATAAAATGCAAACACCCCAAAAAAAAAAATCAAACAGCAAAAACACTACTGGAAGGTGTCACTGAAATAGAGACATTTATCTTCATTTATTCTGTCAGCACAAATGACAGAGTACAGAATTTTGCAATCTTTACAGGAAAGGAAAGGGGGTCCTTAGTAGACTTAAGGTAAAATGGTAAAGACCAAAAAAATAATCTTCCCTTCCTTCAACTCAAACCTTAACATCAAAGGTCAAGTACTTGTTGAAATCCCATCCTCACCCACTGGCTTTTCCCATTGTACCTAAAAAAAAAAAACAACAAACCAAAAAATTTTTTTGGCAGTACTGGATTTGAACTCAGGGCTCCACACTTGCTAAGCAGGTGCTCTATCACTTAAGCAACGCCCCTAGCCTTTTCTTGCTTTGGTTATTTTTTGCCAGTGGCAGCACAGATGGGGATCCTCCTACTTATGATTCCCGCATAAGTGGGATAACAGAAGTTCACCACTACACCTGGTTTATTTGTTGAGATGGGTGTCTAACTTTTTGCTGGAGCTGACCTCCAACTACAATCCCCTGTACTTCCACCTGCAGCTAGGATTAGATGTGAGCCACTGTGCTGAGCCCTGAAGTGCACATTTTTCTCTCTCCTTTTTTTCAAGACAAGTTTTGGGTGTGTTTTTGAAAAACCAGTGACTTTGAATTAACTTGCAATTTTCTTAACACTTCATGTACTCATGTCCCAGTCATGTTGCATAGTAATGGGACAATATGGCAGGATGCATGGTCTTAACAGAATTTATAAGACAGACCTTACGTAGTGGATGCTAATTATAGGTATAACTTTTAAGTAAAAGTTTAGATTAATATCCTATTAGTACTACTAAATTCATTGTACTGAATTTAAATTCATTGTACTGAATTTAAATTCAGGTTCTAAATTCATTTAAACATATACTGACTACAAATCTGTTTCCTTTTCGTCCTGAAATCTCCTGAGGATTGAAGGCATACAACAAAGGTTATACACAAGACCAGGAAACAGTATTGATAGATGACTTTTAATGTCTAAAAGACAAAAAGGAGATTAAGGAATGGTAACTGACATGGCAGAACAGTGGTGGCATTGCTCTAGTGTGTGTAAGAGTGGCTGGGACAGGAACAAGCAGCATCTCAGAGGGTGGAGTGAAACATGGAACAAAAGCTAACATCAGCTGGATAGCCAGTCATCGCCCACTTGCACTCCATATGGTAAGGAATCTAGATTCGAGATATTAAACCGACATTTTCTGGACTTAGATATAGCAGACTCAGAGATACCAGGGCTGAACCTTGAAAATAACAGGAAAAAATGTAAATGAAAAGTGGAACTCTGCCTCTTTCCCAACTTCTGGAAAGCAAGCTTGCTACAAAGCACACTTACAGTTACCAGGCAGAAAATGGGAGAGATCTTTCTCTTAAGAATCTGAAAAAATCCTATGTTCTCCCTCATATGTGGACATTAGATCAAGGGCAAACACAACAATGGGATTGGACTATGAGCACATGATAAAAGCGAGAGCACACAAGGAAGGGGTGAGGATAGGTAAGACACCTAAAAAACCAGACAGCTTTTGTTGCCCTCAATGCAGAGAAACTAAAGCAGATACCTTAAAGCAACTGAGGCCAATAGGAAAAGGGGAACAGGTACTAGAGAAAAGGTTAGATCAAAAAGAATTAACCTAGAAGGTAACACCCACGCACAGGAAATCAATGTGAGTCAATGCCCTGTATAGCTATCCTTATCTCAACCAGCAAAAACCCTTGTTCCTTCCTATTATTGCTTTTACTCTCTCTTCAACAAAATTAGAGATAAGGGCAACATAGTTTCTGCTGGATATTGAGGGGGTGGGGGGAGAGGGAGGGGGTGGAGTGGGTGGTAAGGGAGGGGGTGGGGGTGGGGGCAGGGGGAAGAAATGAACCAAGCCTTGTATGCACATATGAATAATAAAAGAAAAAAAAGAAAAAAAAAAGAATTAACTTAGAAGGTAACACACATGCACAGGAAATCAATGCATGTCAACTCCCTGTATAGCTATCCTTATCTCAACTAGCAAAAACCCTTGGTTCTTCCTATTATTGCTTATACTCTCTCTTCAACAAAATTAGAGATAAGGGCAAAATAATTTCTGCCTGGAAGTGAGGGGGTGGGGGGTAGATGGAGGCGGTGGGGGTAGTTAAGGGAGAGGGTGGGGGTGGGGGAAGGGGGGAGAAATGACCCAAACATTGTATGTACATATGAATAAAATAAAATTTAAAAAAACAACATAAGTAGTTAAAGCAGTCATGACAAATTTAAATAAATTATGCCAAATCAAAAAAAAAAAAAAAAAAAAGAATCTGAACTGTCCTGCTTATGGGGCACCCACAAAAATACACTGAGGTCCCAGGAATGAAAAACTGGCTTGGCCTGCCTCTAAGTCCTTCTAGTGAAACTTGTTAAATTAACAAGTCTTGCTAACACATGGTGCTGCCAGAGAGACCACCATGCACGTGGGAAAAGTCTCCAACAACAGAGCTCAAAACAGGAATTCATGGGAGTGCTAAAAATTCAGGAACAAATGAAAACTTAAAAAAAAATTTCAACAGAAAAGTCAAAGCATAAATTCAAAGAATATCTAAAAATTGGAAAAGACAAACTAGAAAATAGAAGGAGACAGAAATCAAACATCAGTGCAGAAATACTGGTCTAAGAGGCCAACATCTAACCAAGAATATAAGAAAAATTGGGAACTTCTCTAAAAGGTGTGGTTTGTAGAGTTTGCAGCCCTACATAAAGTGAACAGTTCCATAGCAAACCAGAATCCTTGAGATGGAGAAGGTATTAAAAAATTCTAGAGAAGGAATGGGGGGAAAATAAGTAAAATTGGTTATGCTGAATGTACCATACAATGGCAACAGAGTTAAGAGCAACACTGTAAATGAGAAGACAACAAAGAAACATCTTAAAGGACTGTGAACCTGTTTCAACTGAAATCTCCCAAAACACCCAGGAAGAGGTGTTTCAGCAAAACAATAGAGTATAAGACAGAGAGAAACAGAATCTAGGACATAGAGGATCCCACACAAGACAACAGTTATTATGTGAGATCCCCAATAACTTCAAGATATCCCAGGAAGACAGCAAGACAGCAGGCCTAAGGGAGAACCAGTCTGTGTTAGAAAAGGATGACAAAAGGCTGAGGAGGGCTGCCTGAAGTGCAAAAGTAGAACAGATGTGTTTTAGTGGACAGAAAATATTTTTGATATGCACGTGGTAAAAAAAAAAAAAATAGCTGCCAGAAACAGGCAAGTGAAAATAGGAAATTACTTACACACACACACACACACACACACACACACAGAATGTAAAAGAATAGAGACCAGCCAGGGGCTCCTTATTGCATTTGGCAGTATGAGCTAATGCTGGATATAAAAGTGAGATTTATCAGGGGAGTGAAGTGCTCAGATTTTAGGAATGTTTAAGAGAAAAAAATAAGGTGGGCTGGAGAAAGTGACTCAAGATGCACAGCAGCTATCTAAGGGTGCAAAACCCTTAAGTTCAAACCACAGGATCAGCAAAAAAAAAAAAAAAAAGAAAAAGTTAAGGGTACACAAGGAGGTGGCATAGTCAAAGAGTACTATATGATTCAGCAGTTAACAATACTTGTGGTCATAATATAAATATCTGACTAAACAAAAAAATTTGATACGTATCAAGGAATTGGGGGTCAGGGGAATAAGGTCACAGTAGAATAAGGAAGCTAAACTTTCATCTACCATGTCAGGAAATCAACATGTACTACTAATTAACTTATTAATAGCTTGCTACTTTGATTAAAAAATAAGACAAGGCCTGGTACAGCAGCCCAAGCCTATAGTCCTAGCTACTCAGGAGGCAGACATGAAAATGGTCATGGTTCAAGGCCAGCCCAGACACAAAACCCTATCTTAACCGATGGCTGGACGTGGCAGTGCACACCTGTCATCCCTAGCTACACAGGGAAGCATAAATTGGAGGATCACAGCCAAGTCCAGTATAAAGCCAGACCTTATCTCAAAATTAAAGCAAAAGGAGCCGGTGGGTCAAGTGGTAGAGCACTTTTCTAGTAAGTGAGGCCTTGAGTTCAAACTCTAGTGCCAGCAAAAAAAGATGAAAATATTAAGGCAAAAAAATCTTCAATCAGGTCTTTATACTGTAATTATGTTATTGAAATTTAACTTAAACATCAGACTGCTTTAATAAAAATGAATGGTACTAAAGTACTAAGTCAAAAAATTTTCTAAGTAAATTTAATACTTGAGAATATAGAAGATACTTAGAAAGTTCACAAAAACAGGTCCATGTTTAGGTTCCCATTGTACTTTTTAGAAATCATGGCAGGCATCCTTTTAATTCAAACTATTCATTTCTTAACTTTTCAACTGTTTACTTACATGATTTAAATGGTTGCTCTTCCTCTTTTCACGCACTAAGAATAAAAAAGATTAACTGATCAATTCTGACATCAGTGCCATAGAAAAATAAAAGTAGCCACTAATTATTTGATGGATTATCAATATACAAATGAGAAAACTCCATTCTACTCTTAAAAATAATTTCCAACAAAATTAATAAATTCAGTCATCTGTCAAGATGAGTTCTATAAAGTAAAATCTAAAAATTTAGTTTTACCTTTTTACTTCTTAGGTAAAAATGACAGATTCTGTGTACAAAAGAAATGAACAGGGCAAATGGGGCCTGGTGAGAAGTTTAGCTAAAAAAAGCTTACCTCTTACACAGCTGAACAACTAAACAGTAGTATGTTCTGCATTTCCATATAGCTACTGTAACCACCAAGATCTAAGAGCTGACAGCTCTATAGAAACCAGTTTTTAACCAGGTACCAATCTCTACATATGCATCAAAATGCCTGGAAACATACTGAAGCACCAATTCGTAATCTACTAAAATAAGTTACTTGAAAATATGTTACTGAAAAACCTAATTGGCCTTATACGGGAAGTAACCTATCTTAAGTTTAAATTTTTAAATGAGTGTGCTAACCTAACTGAACACAGTATCTACAGCACACAGATTTACTTTAACAAGCTCCAGAAGAGTACATGTTCTGAAGAGGTACCTGGGCCATACTTTGTTTCTCCCACCTCCTCCTCAATTACCAATAGACTGCTTTGTAAGCACACATTCCACTGGAGAGAAAGGGGCATGCAATAGCTTTTCTTTTATTGCTTCCTCACACTTTACATGTGAGAAGCTCACAGATCTTGAAGAAAGTGAGAAATACAGCAATGCTAACCAGAAATGACTGCTCAAGACAAGTGAAATACAAACTATGAAAATTCAGGTTAAAAGCCCATATTTCTTTACTGTGCTATGTAATTCTAAATATTACAAAACCTTCCCTGATTTCTTAAATTCTTTCTGCTATAATCAACTGAAAAACTTAGCTTTCTAGGGGAAAAAAAAAGATTTGACAAGAAAAGGAAAACAAGCAGGTGCAGAAAAATCTTACAGTTCTGATTCTCATCTCAGAAGCAGGACACAGGAAATTTACACATGCTGGTTTACCTTCTAGGAAACACCACAGGGCATGTTTGCTCTGAGTTTTATTATGTTAGGATGAGAAAGTTTTGAACAAAAACTTTAAATGTTCCGAGTAACATAAATTTTGGATGTGACACAGGCTCATTAGAGTGCTGTATATAAAATGAGGTCAAAATGAATAAACAGTCCATTGCTTTTTTTTTGGACACAAAAAACCTAAATTATTCATCTTTAAAACATGCTCTATGAAACAAGGGGAAAAGGGCAAAATACTATGGAACAATAGGTATTAATCCATGACTACTTCTAAATCATTCGGCCAATTCTACTGACAAAGTGGTGGAAAATGTGTAAACAGAGAGCCCACATGCTGTCACTAAAAGAGTGACCATAATCACATCAAAAAAGTCAAGAGAACACATGAAAAATTATAACCAATCAACAATGAAAAACAAACTAATAAAATATTTTGTAAAATATATCACATAAAATAGAAACAGTCTGTTCCTTCGTGGGGGAAACTATTGTCTTACCATCCGTTTGAGATTTGCTGAGGAAAATTGTGCTTGCCCTTGGATGGTCAGAAGGGTTTGATTCCAAAGCTAAATCTGTAAGAGGAAGAGAAGAAGAAATGATTATTTACTTCAGAAGAGAAGTAGATGGCTTTTAAAACAGCTACATACTGGCTTTAATTACTTGAAACATTTACTTTTTTTCTTGGGGGGGAAGTTATGAGTATGAATGAAAAATAAGGGCAACAATATTAAAATCTCTACTGGGGAACTGTAAAAATCATGAAATCTCTTCATTCATATGGAGGTTTTAGACTAATTTTTAAAATCTGTACCTGAATGTTCTAATGCAACTTTTAGATGAATCATATACACGTCTTCTCCCTCCTCCTCATCCAATAGAAATTCAATCATCTACTCTGTGCTGCTATTGCTAGCACACTTCAGTAATAGACCTTAGCCAATTTCTTCCTCTCTCTCCTCTTTCCCTCTTTTTTAATGGTACTGGGGTTTGAACTCAGGGCCTCTATCACCCAAGTGCTATACAACTTGAGCCACTCCACTAGCCCAAATTACTATCTCAATTTATCAAATATGCTAAAGCAAAGAGAACTGTTTTTGGCAAATGTTCCTTAGACTATCACACAGCTAATTCTAACTTCATTCAACACGTGAACTCATTTAGTTAGTAGTTTACTTGGGAGCTATTCCTCATGACAGATTTAAAAGGATTTCGTGTAAAACTTCAATGCCCTGATGTACACAATAATTTCCATGATAGAAACAGATTTTAACTTTTAGTCTCATTTTCAAGGCTACACTCACTTCTTCCTCCTATAGTAGGCCATTATGGGACCAAGGTGGGATAACCTATTTAACCAAGACTAGTAGACATTTAACTTTTCTTAATACATGTGGGATATGAAAAGTCGTCAAGGAAGAACCCAATGACACCCTCAGCAATGTTCATCTCAAGCCACTTAATCTTGTCAGAAACTGGATCAAGATCCAGATAGAGTAATGGTAAGGTAATTATTTCCCAAACTATGTACTAATCATTCTACTTTTTAAAAAAGGGTGTTCAGTCAAATCACCCAACACTATATCCCTGGCTCTTACAGAATCAAAATACACATTGATATGTTAAATACTAATCAGTCAAACCCAGTGTGGTAGCTCATACTTATAATCCCAGCACTGAGAGGCTGAAGTAGGAGGAATCATGAGTTAAAGATTAGCCTGGGCTACACAGTACATTCAAGACCACCTTCTGCTACATAGAGAGACCCTGTCTTAAAAAAAAAAAAAAAAAAAAAAACCAATCAGGCTACTAGTGACTACTGTATAACTCAGCCTTTCACAAATTTAATCTACTTAGAATCCTTTCTTCCTCCTTCCAAGCAATATGGTTAGAATCTTGTAAGAATATATATAATTCAGGACTCCCCAGTTTAACAGGAATCTGAGTCATCTATTTATTTTTATTTTGATTATTTATTTACAAAGTCTTGCTATGTATCTTACACTGGCCTTGAACTAACTATGTAGCACAGACAACCCTGAAACTTATGGCTTGCCTCATCGGCCTTCTGAGTACTGGGACTACAGGTGAGCACCTTGCTGACATTTTTTTTTTTTCAGTATCTTTAAGATATTAAAACAAAGTTAGCAAATAAGTGGAAAAATAAAATAATGTGTGTGCAAAGTTACAGGTAGAGACTTTCACAGCTATCTCTAACCGAAAGCTTATGAAGGAATTTAGTGCTACTCCTACCAAAAAGAAAGCAAATATATTATCATTTGAATTTAAAATGTAATTTGCAAAACTATTAACTATTAAGTATAGTTTACAGAAATGCCCATACTTATGTATCAGTACCTGTGATAAACTTTAAAAAACTTCAACGGAGGTCCAGGAAAATTATCAGAATCAAAGAGGAGTAGGCTTAACACACACACACACACACACACACACACACAAAACATCCCAAACCAAGATGTAAAATTATCAGAATCAAAGAGGAGTAGGCTTACACACACACACACACACACACACACACACACAAAACATCCCAAACCAAGATGTGCTACTGTGTATCTAAACATGAAATTCAGAAAGGGTGGTAATAAAAGCAATGACAGCATGCAGGGGAAAAAAAAAAAAAAGGAAAATTATTCCAAGTGACAAACTGGCACTCCCTCTACCCAAGGTTTGAAGGTGGGTACAAGCCCAGGGCTGGCCAATCAATTACAGAGCTCCAGAGAAGAAAGGCAAAGCTATACTCTAGGACCAAATAGTTGGTTAGTTGGGAGCTGCCAGGTGCAACTTCGCCATTCTGAGAAGAAAGCCTTTCCAATAAAGATGAACAGAGAGGAGCAGGACAGAGATGGCCTCAGACATTGTTTAATTCCTCGATCCAGCTGTACCAAATTGACCTCCTTGGTTATACACTTCTGAGATAGACCTTCAACCGACTACTGCAAGAGACCTGGTTCATCAGCTATGATCACATTAAAGGTGTGACAGGTAAAAAGTCAAGCTTGCTCAAGTAACAAGTGTTATCATGAACAGAAATTTGCAAATGCCAAAATAATGGTTTTTTAAAAAAATTATCAATACATTCACAACTATTACTTTTAGTTGCTTTTCTTTTTTTTTTTTTTTTTTCCAGGTGATCAATATGCTATTTTTTTTTCATTTTTCTTTTATTATTCATATGTGCATACAAGGCTTGGTTTATTTCTCCCCCCTGCCCCCACCCCCTCCCTTACCACCCACTCCACCCCCTCCTGCTCCCCCCCTCACTACCCAGCAGAAACTATTTTGCCCTTATCTCTAATTTTGTTGTAGAGAGAGTATAAGCAATAATAGGAAGGAACAAGGGTTTTTGCTGGTTGAGATAAGGATAGCTATACAGGGCATTGACTCACATTGATTTTCTGTGCATGGGTGTTACCTTCTAGGTTAATTCTTTTTGATCTAACCTTTTCTCTAGTACCTGGTCCCCTTTTCCTATTGGCCTCAGTTGCTTTAAGGTATCTGCTTTAGTTTCTCTGCATTCTTATGCACTTAAAAATAGCTCTTGGGCTGGGGATGTAGCTCAATGGTAAAGCACTTGCCTAGCATGCACAAGGCCCTGGGCTCTATCCCTAGCACACACCTGGAAATAAAAACAAAACCAAAAGCCCTCTGATCAGTATGCAATTTATGTTCTTTTTTATTACAGAAAAACCACCTCCACTCCCTTACAGATTTATTGTTTAATGAATACTGCTCAGTGCATAATAGTGCAAGTGTACTGTAATACTCAGCCAATCCTCATGGCAATTAGAAAATTTTGTCCTTACATTATAAAAAAAAATGAAATAGTTTTGAAAATAATTTCTTTTATCTCCTTAGGAAAGATTTTAAAATGTGGGATGACCAGACCAAAAGGCTGGATCATTTTCATGGTTCAATATATAGTGCTAAACTGCTTTCTAAGGGAAGTAAGGGCCCATTAGGTACAGCCCTACCACTCTCACCAGCTTTAACTCCTACCCCCAGCTTTGAATACTTAAAAAAAAAAACTTGATGATGTAAATGAGGAACATTACTGTGGTTCTAATTTGCATATATTTGATTACACAGTTTTACGTACTCTACCATAGTTAACTGTGGCATTTCCACTTTGGTGAGTTTCTTATCATTTGTATGTACTGGTGTATAGCTATTGTAACCACTTAGGGCATTAATGTTTCAATTTGCACAAGGTTTTCTGAAAATTTTCTGTCTGTAGCCACCAAAATTTTTTATATAACATGTACTTTCTGCTAGTGATAAATACTACATGTTGCTATTTTACAGAATGGATATGTAAGGTACTAGAAGGGAAACTCATACACATACTGTATTACTTCTGCATTCTCCATTAACTCTATTCCAGAGCCTCAGGAAACTCTGATAAATCGTATTACTCTATTTTCACTATCACAAAAGTAAGACTGCCAACTACTAAGCAAAGCATTAGGTTCCACAAACACTCATACATACAGGTACAGAGAACTAGAGAGATGTCAGGAAAATAAAAATGCACCAATTACCATGTATCTTACATATAAATCCCTTCTGCAATTTAATTTGACAACATGATGAGTTAATGTAGGAAAAGTACAATTTTTTAAAAAATTGAAAAAAATTAAACATCTCTCAGAGGATGGTATCACTGATATCCAATACAGTTCTTCCTTCTAGTGTTGAGTCTAAGATCCACCTTAATTAGACATAAGTCAAAAATGTAAGAGTATATAATCTGGAATAAATGAAATACATTATTAAAGACTAAAAGTATAAAAACTATCCAATCATAAATTGTCAAAAAAATTAGTCTCCTTGTTAAAGTAGTAAAGGGAGAGAATAGTGATAAGGCAGAAATAGTGTATGTGAGAGGCTGATTTCAACATATTGATTTCAATATACCCCAATTACATAGAAGATGTCAGCAGTTTCTAAGCCAAATGCTGGGAGCTTGTTTATTTAAAGGCTTACTGCTCTACCGTCTCTATAGTGTACATTTTGCTAGTTTTATGGCCCACAATGCAAATGTTCCAAGCCTTACAATTACTATGAAAAATGAAGATTTTTATCACTCTGAGTCCACACTTTACACCATCGGGTAATTCTTACCTGATGGCCTTGAGCAGGCCTACCTCACCAGATGGCACACAGCACATAGCAGAGGTCCTCTGTGCCCTAGTTTAGGGCTCATTCCTGCCTAGCTTTTCTTTTCCAGCCTCTACTGATCCACTTCTAATCCACTTCTGGACTCACCTCACCACCAGTTTCTCAGTCTTGTCCCTGTTTTAATCCTCAATCTATGCTTTATTGTGACACTGAGATATGACCTTTCATATACTATAGAATACCTTTCTTCCTTTGTATGTGTGTGTGTGTGTGTGTCTACACATATATATTTTAGTTTTTCAGTACTGGAACTTAAACTCAGGACTTTCCACTTGCTAGGCAGATGCTCTATTATTTGAGCCACACCTCCAAATCCTTCCTTGAAATTTTTTTTTTTTTTTTTTTTTGCAGTACTAGGGTTTAAACTCAGGGC